AAACCTTAGACCCTAATCCAGACACCATGAAACCAGAACACTGAAGCCTAAACGAAGAAGCCAGAGCGCTCAACCCTCCAACGGAAACCCTGCGGAATGAACCATAAACCCTGAACCCTAACCACTGATCCCTAAACCATAAACGTAAACCATAAGCCATAAAACTAACACTAAATCCTGAAAAATGCAAACCTAAAGCCTACCCATAAACCATAACCCCTGGAACCGTAAAGCTAAAGACTCAACCGTGAACCCTAAAGGACCAACCTGAAACCTAAACTCCAAGCCTAGACTCCTACATGCATAAACCTAAAAATATACCCTGAAACCTAAAAACTAAAAATAGACCCTAAATCCAAACCATCAGACATGAACAATAAAAGCTGAACCATAAACCCTGAACCGTAGGCCCTGAAACCTAAACTTAAGCCGTAACCCCCCCGAACCCTAAACCGTGAACAATAAGGCCTGAACCCTACAGATGGAACCCTAACCCGGAAGAACCCGCTGTTTGGACCCTGAAAAACAAACACTAGACCGTAAAAGTCGGATCCTAAATCTACCCAATTAATCCTAATCCTAACCCCTAACTTCTGAGTCCTAAAAATGAAAACTAAGGCTCAAACCGTAGACCATGATCTCGGGGTGCTAGTAGTTTCACCCTAGAAATAAGACAGAACCCCTGAACCCAACTGTGACAACAGAAAGCCTTTCCCCTAAACCCTAAAAACTAAGCCAAAACCTGACCCCTAGAAACTCTAGTCTACAGCTCCAACCGTAACCCTCCAATCCTTATTCCAGGAATTTCGAACGCCATATCCTTAACCTTAAACGCTAAGTATCCAACCTGAACCCTAGACGCCAAGCGTCCAGACCAACACTCCCCCCTCTTCAGTCCCTCCCCCCTTCAGCTCCATTCTCAAGCTTTTCCTCCGTCTCCCCACTCCCTCTCCCCCGTCCTCGACGCCCTTGGGGGATTTCCTCCCAACTGTGAATTTTTTCACTCCAGGAAAAGTGTGGGAAAAAGACTCCTATGTTGATTTTTTTGTCAGATCTCCATCACGGACTCTTTCCTTAACTCAACCTCCTAAGTTAGCCCAAGGGGTACGTCCCCGAGAATCCGGCTCCTTCTGCTACCCTCAGCACCAGTCACTTGTCAGGGGGCTCCTTTTGTATGGTTGTTTCTGTTATATCTTGGGTTCTGAGTTGTCTAGATCCTTTGGGGTCGTCCTGGTCAGGGGAGCCCTCTATTGACTGGCTCCTCTCACCCATCGTGCTACTTCTCTTGAATTTCTTTAACTCGAATTTTTCCGGAGGGACTGCTATATATCCCCTTACACTTCGGATCATATTTGCAGGATTTCTTCGAGTAGGTGTGCTTTGGGGGGAATTCAACTATTGCCGCTAATAGATTTGCCAAAGGTTTCGTCTGGCTCTTCCTTCGTGCAAGACATCGAGACGGTTCCTGCTAGTGCCTACTTGAGATTCAAGCCTCCGGGTCCCCACCCTCACGTCATTATAGGTCCCTTGACCGTCTGGCGCCTTGAGCCTGGACTGGAGCAAGTAGCTGGATTGTCTCTCATTAATTTGTAGTCTAGACTTCGTACAGCGCACTTGGTGCCATTACGATATTCCGTAGGTTATCCTTGCGACTTTCCCCGTTTCCGTTTGAGAAATTCTTTTCCGGGATCCCCTCCTGAAATATATCCTATAAGACGCATATGCAGACGCTAATGCCAAAACTATGCCCAGTATTCCTCCTATCACTTGTGGGACTAAGTTATTGCCTACATTCTCTGCTTCGGTTGGCCCATTACCCGGAACTTCTTTTAGCTCTGCCATGTCATCCCTTGGTCGACCCGTTGTTTCTTCTTCTTTCCTTGGCTTCTGAACCTGAGTGGCTTCCGAAGCTGCTGAGGGGGGCGTTGGCTCCCCTGCTCCTATTGATGTGTCCCCTGACTGGAATTCGCTTATTGTTGTCTGTGCCTGATTGGGAGGGGGTGACACTCCTGCGGGCCCCGGTTCGCCGCTGCCCTTCGGGCCTTTCTCTCCTGGACTCCTGTGGCTTCCTGGTCCGGCTGTTTCCCTTTCCCCGGAGGCTGTTGTTGTTGCAATTGGTCCCTCAGGGGACGCTCTGTCCCGTCCCTTGCCTTTGGCTGTTCCCTCCTCCAGCACGCCTGTCCTCTTCCCTATTGGCTCGCCCGATTCCGTATTTTTCTTCTTTTCCTCCCTATAGCTGCTTTGAGATGGGGGAATGGTCTCTCCTGTTGTTGGATTCCTGACGTGAAGAGGGCCCTTTGTCACCCTCTTCTCTCTGGTGATCATGATTTGGTGACTGTTATGCCATAGATTCAATCCTGTTCCTTTTTGGTGTGTTCCTCCGCTTTCACATTTTAGTTGGTCCTCGTCCATGAAACACGTGGAGAGTTGTTTCAGATCATAGTTATCTTTTCTTAGTAACCCTGTGAAACTATACTTCTTGCTATATTCACAACACTCTCTCATTCCATAATATACGCTTAAAAGAAATCCCACTCTGGCGAACTTCGATTTTTCCCCAGCCTGGTCCCCTCTTATCAGCTTCAAGAATTCCCCTAACGTCTTTACGGGAGCTGTCTCTGTTTGTCTGTTTGGCGGATCCAACTCCACTGCTAACTCTTCCCAGAGACCGCTACACAGGTCCTTGACGTCGGCAGAGAGTGCTTCCTGCCCCTTTTCCTGACCATATAATGCCCTCATGGTACATACCACAGCCGTCAACATGGCCTGACCGAGAGCACTGTTCCCCCAGTTCTCTTGTGTGTGGCCCCTTAGTACTTTGTTCCAGTTTCCTTGGTCCCATAACACTACGCTTTTCCCTCCGATACTTGCCGTTATCTGTTTCAAGCTCATGGCATGTTCCATCACACACCCTATGATTCCTTTCCACTTGAACTTGTTTTCTGTTCTATGCTTCATTTCTTTCACTACGTCGTGTTGTGCACCTGAGATTTCGCCCCAGGCGTCGTTGCTTTGTAGCTTTTCCACCTGTCTGGCGAGTCCTCCCAGAAATCCGGGTAGAGCACCTCCTTGGCCTCCATACTTACCTAAACAGTACGGAGACCCCGTTCGCCCACACTTGTCTTGTTGCCCTAGTTTCGTGTTATACTCATAGACCCCCTTGGAGCTGTTGAGCTTCAGTTCTCCCATCGTTCCTCTTTGTTGCGGTGTATTTGTTTCCTATAGGTCTGGTGTATACTCCGATTTACGCTTACTGTCCTTTTCGACTATTCTGGTCTCATGGGATCTGGATTGTCGATTCTCTGACTTTTTGCATTTTGTGGCTCAGAGTCCCCCTTTCCGGATTCACTCTCCTCCTAATTAGCCCTGCTGGGTCCACGTCCTGACTACTCCCGAGACGTTGGTTGTCCCTTCCCTCCCCTAGTTACTGCCTAATCGTCGCTCATTTTCTGTGCTACGTATCTCCTGTCTCCTCCCCTACCTGATTGATCGTACCTTTATTCTCCTTCAAGAAGATGGGGCGCCTCCTCCCCGGCCTTGTCGGCCTCGTTGGCTGAATCGTTACGTCCTCCTGCTGTTTCGCTAGTCTCTCCTTTCTCTACCTACTTGTCATAATCCTTACGCTTCCTTTGTTAGACGTTCTGTTTAGGTCCTTAGCCCGGTCCCTCTTTACTCTGTTCCCTGTACGGGACTAGGATAGTCTAGCTGTCCACTGTCCACTCCTACCCGATTCTGCCCCCGTTCGGCGCCCCGCTCCCCCCTTCTCCCCCCCCGCTTCAGTCACTCCTTCCTGGTGGTTCTGACGGTTTTGATCTTTCCACGTCCCTATTCTATTCGTCCCTTTTCATATCGCTTTTCCGCTGGTTTTGGTTCCTAGGCTGAACCTTCGGCTTTTGCTAATTTCCTTTATCCTAGACGGAAGTGGCTCCTCCCCCTCCGGTCCTTTCTACTCTCTTTTTTCTCGGGGGAAGAGTTGCTTTCTCAGCGACGACTTTCTCGTCTTTGCTGTCACCCCTTGGGGGGTCCCTTCCCCTGTTCCGAAGACTCCGGGACGAGTGTCCTCTGGGTCCCCTTGACGGTTGACTTTTTACCGTTCAGCCCTTAACTAAAATCCCTATCGCTGTTTCTTTCATTGTCTTCACGGTGCCTTACCCTCCTTCCGCTTATCTCCTACTTAGACGCCTTGGTGGGTCTAGATGCATCCAGTGTTCCTCGTTACTAGACTCAGCTCTCATCTTGTTCCCTGTTATGCCTCTCAGTGGGGGGCTTGGTGCTGTTTTGCTTTATCTGGCTAGCTCCTCCCTCTGCCTCGGAGTTGCTCGTTCCCATTTCTCTACTTACTTATTCCTGTTTCTCAATGCCCCCCCTGTTGCTGGAGGCTTCTCCCAGACAGATGCATGCTTCTACTCCTGTATATGTCACCCTCCTCGAATTCCCCCTTCTACCATCACACTTGCAGAATTCCTCTCCTATCTTTGCCTAGGGTGTATAAGAGACCCCTGAGTCTCATCACCGATTCCTATAATCATCTCGGTACCGTGTTATTCATTAGACCCCTCCTTCTTTTGGTCCTCTTCCTACCGTGGGGTATTCTTGTTCTGCTGCTTGGTTCTGTCGGAAGGCAGGGAGTTTTCCTGCCTAACTTCTTGCCTGGCGTGGGCGGTTCAGCTGTTCACTATCTGCTTCCTCCTCCTTAGCCCCTAATTGTGCCTTCTACGTCCTGCTACTCCCTGTCGTGCTGCGTCCTTGAGGTTTGGGGATTGAGATTATCCGTCTGGTCTGGTTTCTTTGGTTCACCCCTGTCAGTGGAGCTGCGTGTGTCCTTTTTCTGCTACCTTCCCGGTATGAATTCTAATTCTCCCGCAGGCTTCACCTGCTTCGTATTTTTTTCCTTTTTCCTCTCCCGGAGTTTCCTTGGGGGACCGGTTTCTTAATCTCATGCTACTTTCTAGTTGTCTGTTCCGTCGGTTTGTCCTCTCCTGCTCTTTCTGGGGTAGTGAGTTAATGATTTTTGCTACAGTCCTGTGAGATAACGTTAGCTTCCTCCTTATCTTCTATTCTTTGTGGGGCGTCCTGGGGAAACCGGTTGAGTTCCTCGGACTCGGTCATTATCCTTTCTTACGCCTGTTTTTGCCTCCTGGCTGGTATGTTCAGACGAAGATCCTCTGCCGCCTTTTGACAGTCATGCTGAGGGGCGTCTATGTTTTAGCTGCCGGGGGTTGACTTAACTACTTATTTTTCTGTTTTTCTGCTTTTTTTCGCTGGCTACTTTGACTTTTTTTTGACTTCTTCTCTTTTGTGACACCCTACTGAGATTTCTTGAGGATTGGTGGTTCCTTTGGGGGGGGGGTCATCTGGTTCTGCCAATCACCTTCTGTACTATCTTTCGTCCCCGCGTGGGTTTTGCCTTGTCTCCTGATTTTCCTGTGACTATGTCGACTTGTCAGTTTGGTTGCCTGATTGGTTTATGGTTGAGTTCTGCCTCTTCATAAATCTCTCTCATCGGTCTGGTGTGAATCCTTTCGGCTGCCTTCTCCCATGAAGTAGGTTCTTTGGGCCGACGGGATTGTAGGCAATTAGTCACTTCTCCGATTGGGGGTGTGGGAGGTTTGAGCGTTGGTTCTTTGCTGCGCCACTCGAGTCGAGGTGCCCCTCTGTTAGAGTAGACGTGCTTCGGTTGTGGAGACGGTTTCTTGAATGACTTGTTATTGAGACGTGATCGGAGTGCCGCTTCTTTGGTGTTATGTTCCCCCTCCCTTCTGTTCGTTTATCCTTGGGCCCTCTCTCATCTCCTGGGGCCTTAGCTTCCTCTATCCAGTATTACGAATGCTTGGGCAGGACATCGACCTCTGCTCCTGCCTTGTGCGCGGTGGACACCTCGCTGTTTTGGGACCCGCCTCGCAACGATTTCATTTTTTTGCTCTAGGCTCAATCAGGCTAGAAGTACGGACTACGATCTTGGGCTGCTCTGGACCTGTCCTGTTTTCTTACTCTCATTATTTTGCACTGCTACTCTATCTTTGGAAGCTCAGTAGGAATTAGTTCAGCTTCTGGGCTTCCTACTGGGCTTGGGCGTATTGGCCCCGACATTTTCTGCTTGTACCTGTTGGAGGGATCTATATATTAACTCCTAGTGGTGGGGTCCTCCTCTTTCGGTGTTTATCTTTTCGAGTATCTTGTTTCGTCTGTTCCTGTGACTAATATTAATTCACCCTGCCCTTGTGGTAATGACTCCTACTTGTTAATGTCTTCTTTAATATTAGGCTTCTTGGTGTCGTTTCTTCGAGGTCCTGTTTGAAAATGTCTAGGGGGTGTTTCCCATCTTCCTTGGGGTTCCTTAAAGGGGATCGCTACTTCTTGTTTTTATTTATTTGGATTGGTTTTGTTATAATCATAGTATTCGGTTGTTTTTCTTTTCTATAATTACCTCCACTCATAACCAGCGTCAATGATTTTTGTGAGAAAGTCTTGAGTTCATCGCTTGACTCCCTGAGTTGCATCTGACGGGCTCGGTTGTTTCTTCTTTCTTACTTGGAAATATATGATTTTACCCCATTTCTTGCTTCGGGGGTCTACGTTCCCTGAGGCTTCTTTTCTCAGTTGGAATAGTCATGTCATATCCTGTTCTATTATGAGACTCCTTCTTTAGTCTTCATTTTCTAGAAGTTTTATAATGCCTTTATATGGGTAGGGGGGAGGACGTACTTTTTTATTCTTCCTTCAGTGAAATTTGTCTCGGATGGTTTTTCTTACTCAGGCCTTATGAAATTTAGATATTAAAGTTCCTATTACTTCATCTTTAGTTTTATAAATTAAACAATGTTTCCCTTGTCGTCTGAGTTGATACAGGAAAGATTATGATTTTCTCAGGAGTTGCTTCTTTGGAAATTAAGCTACTGTAACTCTTATCTACACTTCCCCTTTGGCATTTAGAGAGTTTTTAAGATTTTGTCTATTGTCACCTCATCAGCATATTGACTCGATGAATGGATAGATATGCTCCTTCACATCCGTGAGGTCGTTCCGAGGGGAGAAGGAGCTCTAACGAATAAAGATTCGGTTTAGATTTCCTTCTATAATGTCTAAGGGTTTTGGGATGTTCTGAGTTTTTCTAAATTCTTCTCCGACTTCACAATCATTCCACAATTATTATCTTAGTAATCTAACTACAGGATCTTGACTGGGGGGATTTCTGGTATTTTGTTACGCACCACTGGAACTCTAATCCATATTAGGATATAAATCTATTCAATTCCTCTGTTCTTGTGATTAAATTTAGATGTTTACTTGTGATTATTGTACATTCATATCATATAATACCTGTGGTATTGTAGAAACAGTAATCTTCTGAATTTCCGTTCATAGTTCTTCTCGTGTTTTTTATTTTGATTTTTTTAATCTGTTTATCATAGATTGGCGCTGTCATAATATAACGGATATACCATTATAGGCACTGGGAGAGAAGTAATTAAACCTCCTATAATGATTTGATTTCTTAATACGGTGATGATCATAAGAAAAATATCATGCGATTCTTATTTTTTGGACTAGAAAAGGACTTATAATTGTAGATAATTCTTCTTTTCACTGTTGCCGCTTAATTATTAGCCGAAGGAGAGAAAGGAATAAACAAATAATCGGAGTAAATCTAATCTTTTACTATTCCGATAAAATCTTCCTGGATGGCTGTTATATGACCCTCTTGTTGTTACTCAATCCTAAAGAATAAGAGAGTCTGCGGGGAATATACTCTGCTGCTGACTGTTTAAAGTTAAAATGACAGAAGAAGATGTAAAGCTGAGATGAAATAGGGAATGAATCATTCCTTAATACGTGTAAAAAATAAATAAAACAATTCTATACTCTCGTAACATGCCCAGAGTTATCTTTTACTTTAATCCATAGATAGATTAATCGTTAAGGAGAGGATATATTTCTTAGGACTATGAATTTAGTGATAGAGAAGAATACTCTTATCACATTAATTACACTCTGGAGGGATTATCCTTCGGAGGCATTGACGGAATTATAAGGACGTGAAGGGATGAAGCTTGTCCTTTATAGTAATTTTGATAAAGGGACGTGAGGGAAATCTTTCACATGGTCCAGTTCATAACTAAATCAGTCTTCTGGTGTATGATGTTAGATATATAGAGTATAGCAGGTTATAGAACTCCAACCTAGTTGAT